GGGGGGGGGGGGGGGGGGGGATACCTACTTCACAGTCAGACCTGAGCTTGGGTCCTGTCTAGCTGTATGAACTTGAGTTTCAGTTTCCTTAAGTGTAAAGTGGAGATCACACCACCTTATAAAGTTGTCGTAAGGTTTATATATGAGGTAAGATCCGAAAGTACTTGGAGCAGTTCCTGGCCCATCTGTACCCATAACAACCAGTAGATTCTATGTGAGCTGTGCGTCTAGGATTGTCTTGAAAAAGTGGGGCCTGGGGAGCTCTTAGGAGCAGAATTGGCAATGTTCTCCTTTGAAAAGGAGCTTGTTTTGACGCCCTTCAGAGTCTCTAATGCCAGGGACGCCTCATGACAGCACTGGCCTTCCTATGTTCTCATGTAACTTCCATCTCATCCTCCGTATTTAAAACTCCAACCACAGCCAACTGACCTAAAGTCCCCCTGGTTTTCTCTTGCCCTTCCCTCAGCCACTGGAAGAGATCTACTCGGCAGGAGATTCTCTAATGATTCAATTCCACACGGATGACACCATCAATAAGAAAGGCTTTCACGCCCGATACACTAGCACCAAGTTCCAGGATGCCCTGCACATGAAGAAATAATGTCGATGTTCTTGAAAGACAGGAACTGAGAATGTTTTTTGTAACAATAGCACCTTGTGAATCTGCCCTAAACCGGTGTATAGTATTTCTCTCAAAAACTCAGAATCTAGTGTTGGAGGTCTGTCTCTGATGAAGTTTGGCCAACAAGGAAGAGGGAAGATGTTTTTTGATTCTGGCTACAACATTATCAGTCATGGGCTCTTAAGATTAAGGTTTTGAAGTTACTTACCATTCAAGCTACGCCTGGTCATACTCATTCCCTTTGTCCCATGCTCCTCTGGGGCAAGAGGCCGGCCTTTGGGTTGGTCATTCCTCTATTTCTGGATGTGCTTCTGTAGGTGCCAGGCAGCGTGACTGTGTCCTGAAGACTCAGGCTGTTTTCCGTCTACACTGGGCAGTGAGGATAAGAGCTTGGCCATGGCTGAGTTGTTACTCACCGGCTTGGCTGGAGACTTTGGCTTTCTATCTGCCAGGGACATGTCAACCAGGAAACCTGAGAATATGGATGTCAGGACTAAAAAAGGACTCACAGTAAGCAGTGCACAGAGAGAGCTTGAGTATGAGAATCGTCGTCACAAAACTAGTTGACATCAAGCCTTCGGTCTGTGTCATTGGCATTCCTTGCCACTTTGGGATTCCCTCATCCCTAACTGCACTAGGAGGCTGAGGCATCCACTATTAATTCCAGCAACATATTTGCCAGTGAGAGACCCCAGTTTGCCGAGAAGAAAACATCCTGGATCCTCCTGATACTCCTTTACTGGCTGACTTTGAGAAGATGCCACCCATGCTTGGGATTCCATGGGCCTAGAAGACCATTTCCTCCTCCAGCTTTAAAGGCACTTCCTGTGGTTGACCTTGACTTCTTGACAACTGATTCAAACTGCATTTGCAAGATGTGCAAAGACAGCCTATGAAGGACCAGTTCAGGTCCCTCGTGGGGTGAACACTGTTGAAAACTGGTTAATTAAAAGTTATGTAAGAATCATCATCTGTGGGACAAGTCAACTTTGTGACTAACTTCCTGTCAGCAGTCAGGTTAAAGAGTGCATTGGTAACTTTGCTCAGGCTAACTAGTATTCAATCACCAACTTGCAATCAGAATTCACCACATTGGCACGTGTTCTAGAGAAGTGTAGAGAATGTTGTTTACATAATTTTAGAACCTCCAGGTGGACTTCAAACAGTGAGGTAGTTTTGAATGGCATTTCATTAAGGCATCTATGGGCATTATGAGCTAAAAGCTGTGGTATGTTAGCTTTAAAAGAGTATTTATGTTGGAATCATTTTTAAATAATGTTTACATAACCGTAAGTCCTGTTTGGTTGGTATTGAACACAGGACAGCACAGAGAGTGTTTTCCGTGAGACCTGAGATAGCTCCCAAGCGCCAGAATTCCTTTGGGATGAAGCAATGGCATTTTAAACAGAGTGTTCGTAAAATCTTAAAAGTTATATTTTTTAAAGATCAGAATATGTCCCCAGAGGACTATGCCTAATTAAAATGATGGCTGGGAGTGAAACAAAGAAAGGATAGTACAAAGAAAGGTAGAAGAAATGCATGGAAATATATTTTTTTCCTTAAAACAGAAAAAAATGCAAAGTATTATTATTAATAATAATATATGTCTGTATATATGTATGTATGTAAAGGATCAGCTGTCAGAGCCTTAATCAATGCAGTGTGACAAATGCCGATCGTAGCTTTACTGAGCGGGCCCTCTTGGACCAGCCCTGATTTTCTGTGTCTCCTTCGCCACGCCCTCTCTTGGCCCTGATGGAGATTCGCCCGCATTCTCAAGTCCTGGTGCATCACTGACCCTGCCGGGGAGGGGGGGGGGGGGGGGGGCGCGCGGAATTCGACTCAGCAACGGGAGCCCCTTGTTTCGTGGTTCAACCCGCCCACTAGGGTGGATCCCATCTCTCAGATTTTTGTATTTTCTGGGGGTTTACCTTGTCTCATCTGTCAACGCTGGGACTGAAATCAGGATATATAAGGTGGCTGTTAGAGGTCTCTTTCCTACAACATGAGCATTCTGTAGTGTCGACCTTTAGAAGCCTAAATAAGATCAACGAATTCCATGGAAGAGTGGGAGAAAGTGAGAAACAGAGTTGGCCGTGCCTCAGCATTTGCCTCATGAAACAATGGTACTTATTTTTATCTCTTTAGTATGAATATTTTCAAAAACACACAACTTGGCCAACTTGAAACAATGGGACTCTTATGAAAACCTTTATTTAGGCCTTCTGTGAGTGACGTATTCCCAGACAAGACAAGCCCTGATTCAGCTGGGGCCGGCCAGACCACTCCCCTGGGAGCTCACAAGGGGATTGACGCACTGGCTTCAAGAGAGAAGGTCCACTGGGCAGGAAGACCCAGGCCCCCTGCTGAAGGGGGACATTGCTACCCTGCTTTGTCCTTTAGTCGGGGGCTTGGCCTTGGGGATGTCTGGAGCTCCGAGACCTGCTTCCTTCTGTTCACAGAATTCCCTTGATGACCTGATGAAATGTGTGGGTCATCAGCCTGGTCCAATTCTGGTGTGATCTGCTCTGGCAGAAGCTAGAACCTGAATCCCAGGGCGGGGAAAAGGTCAGGAATTAACTTTAGCCTGTGGAGTTTCTCCAAACAGAGAAAATGAGGCTGTGCATTGATTCACCGTAGGCCCGTTTTCCTCTAAAGCTAACTTTCGTATTACTCATGAAACACCCGGCTTGTTTAAATCATGTGCAAGAACCCTGTTAACTAGCAAATTCACACTGGGATTTGCTGTTGATCTGGTCCATTTGATAATAATTCGTGGTATTGTCGTTCAGTTTGCGAACAAATGTTCCCCTGACTTCCACTCCCTTGTTTTCCAAGTTCCCTTGATAGACAGAACCTCTGAAAGATAATCCCAAATGCCTAAAAGGTTTCTTTTTAAAAAAGAAAAACTGTGTAGAGTGCACTCTATAAATATATTGTATTTTTTATTTTGTGTAATTTTACATTTCGTGAAATGTTAGTTTCAAAGAGAAAAGCAGAGAGGAGCTAACATGTCTGTCTAGGAAGAATTGTCTCATTAAAGAATGTGGCTTCATTGATGTGTCCTGGGTTTGTATTACTAGTTCAGACAAGCTTGGGCCTCTTGATGATATTTTCTCCAATGTCCCAGGACTTGAACACATGAAAAGGGGGTGCATCTCAGTGGCTTTCTATTCTCAGGTGAATACCCAGTGCCTGGTCAAGAGCAGAGCTCCCTATTGGACCCAGAAAGTCAGGAGCGAAGCTCAAGATGGCTTCAAAGTTGCCGCCTTTCTTGAACCCAAACAGGCTTGAAATCTGACACCAGACTTGTTGCGGAGCCGGGTGCTGTGATGACCGAGCTAGATGTGGTAGACAGACACCATTTGTCCCTCAGCACCTGTCTCTACTTTGCTTGTGTGCCTGAGGACCACGTCTGGCATCTAGAACTGAAGGGCACAGCTCCTATGAAGGGGCCCTGTCTCTCTGGGTGCCGGTAGCTCTCTTCCCCTCTTCAGGCCCAGGGGTGGTGATGACACTCTGCAGGTGTAATCCTGGGGACTGCATTATCCCCCAAGGGGGACCTTTACAAATGGTCCTTTGAATAAGCCCTCTTCAAACAGAGCAAATTGAGTGTCTCATTTCCTGTGATGCAGGGTCATTTTTAGCCCAAAGACAGAGGTTCCATCTAATCGAGGACAGTCTTCTCGGGACGACCAGATGAGGAGACTTTGGGGTATTTTTGGAATTTTGTGGGTCCTATCAGGGAAGGGTCATAAGGAACCATGTTTTTTAAAACACTCAGATTGGTCTTAATGCAAAATGACTTAAATGCCAAACCGCTCATGCGACTGTCTTGTGCTGCACGTGGAGTGTCAGGGTTTTAGGACCCTTCTGTCTTTTGCAGTCACCAGCACTGAAAGGTGCTCATTGTTCTTTGCACTCTGCCAGCCAGTCTCCGGGAAAATACTCCTCTGCTGTAATCCAGACCTCCCGGAGAAGACGATCTTTGTCAACATTGCTTAGCTAGTGCTCCTCTCCCCCTTAAACTCTTGAAACACTTCCACTTCCACTACGACGGAAATCTCACCGAGCCCTGCCATGCTCACCCAATCCGTCCCCTTACTCTTTCTGTCTTTTGTCGTTGTTTCTGTTGTTGTTGTTAAGACATCTTATTCATTCATTCATTCATTCATTCATTCCCAGTATGGTTAACACACAGTGTTATATTAGTTTGAGGCGTACACAATAGTGGTTCTACACATTACTCGATGCTCATCGTGATAAATGTACTCTTAATGCCCCTCACCTATATTACCCACCCCCAGTTTGTTCTCTATATTTAAGATTCTGGGTTTTTTTTTTGTTTATCTCTTTTTTTCTTTATTTCTTTTGTTTCTGAAACTCCACCTGTGTAACTCACTGTGTCTTCCTCCTTCTGAGGTCACTCCCCTGGTTTATGTTGCTTCAGGCACACAGACCTCCTTCCAGGCTGTGCCTGCTTCAGCCCCGGGGCTTTGCATATGCTGTTCCCGCTCCCTGGGACCATCTTCTCCTCTTTCACGTGCACCCTAAGGGTCACCTCTCAGGGCCATCTAGAACAACTGTTTACCAGTCATTCCGATCACTTCGTCTGCTCCTCTCCTAGGGGGTCTCCCTTGTTCCGATTGGGGTCTGTCTGCCCTTGCTGGAATATACATTCCTCAAGAGTTGGGGCCTCATTTGTCTTTATCACCAAGGCCCAGAACCATACCCAGAAAACCCCTCGACATACAGGAGCTGTCAAAAAGATTTGTTGAATCATGATGAATGCATTCATTTAAGTGACCAAATGTCTTGGTCATAATTGTGTTGTTTCGTTGGCTTGGGACTCCAGCTCTCTCAGTGTTTTAAAGAAGCAAACTCTTAACAAAGAACTCATACAAGATATAAAGCAGTCCATGTCAGCGGCTTCCTCCAGCTCTAGGAAGGTCCCCACTCAACACGCGAGAGCAGAAGGGGGGCAAGGTCAAACTCCCCACCAGGCAGCTCATTGACCAGGGAGTGTGTTCACTGCGGTCCCTCGAACACAGAGCAGGCTCCAACACCGTCACACGGGCATCCTCGGCGTTGATGCTGGTGGGGTGCTGACCCCATCGTTGCCGGGACAGCGGTCAACACCGAAGCCTGCAGCAGGGGAGGGTGCGGCCAGCCTCGGCCTGTGTAACCCATTGTTTGTAAAGAGCCACTGGCCGCAGAAGGCACCAAGCTCTCAAGCCAGCCGTGGGTTCTTGGCTGAGGAACGAGCCTGGAAAGTAAGAGAGAAAATGAAAACAAGGAGGGAGGCTGACCCGGGCCATACACGGTGACCATGAAGCAGGACGCCATCTCCCCGACGGGTGGGCGGAGGACTCGGCTACTCCCCTGGCCATACAAGGCTTGGCCAGAGCTCTCATGGGGCCACACCCCTTGTGTCACCCTTGCCCTCCCAGCTGTGTGCTCTACAGATGTGAGACACAAGCCAGTAACACCAGCAAGAAAGGAGCTTGCCGAGGGCGGCGTCTGGAGAAGGTTCTCAGGAGGCTGTCAGAAATGGTGAGTAAGGCTAGCATCTTTTCTCACCCTGTCTTCCTTCCTCACTATAAAAAACAACTCCCAGGCATTTAAAGCTCACATCTCGTACTGCAAACGTGACTCTACTCTGGGTGCTGTGACTTCAAGGGACTTGGTGTTTTATTATTTTCCTATAAGTAAAATACTAATCATTAAATCAATTCTCCTCTAATATTTGCTGATCTCATCTTTCATTTTAATATTAACATTTTGCTTTTAACCCCCCCCAAACACACACACACAGACACACACACACACACACACACACAACAAGGGCGCAAAGCACATGTTTCAGCTAAATTCATTTCCCAGTTGAAGCAGGGGGTGTGATCCCCACCCTTCTCACTTGCTCAGTCCGCCTTCCGTTACGTGATCTGCAACATAGATACTGGCGAGTTGCATTGGAAGTGTTCTGATTTTCTTACTGACTTGTGACACATATTTGGGCGTGACTCAATCAAAAGAAGTTTGCTAAGTTAGAAGAGGCTTCTGTGGCTCCTTTGTTAAAGAGGTTATTAGAAGGAGATGAATTCTGGCTTTGGAGTTAGGAAGATCCGTGATCTAACCAGACCCAGACCACTTGCTAGCAACCAATCTCGGTCCCCACACTCACCACGTAGGGACGATGGCCTTTCCCTTATGGGGCGCTTATGCATGCGGTGTCTGATACACAGTGTCCCCTCAATAACAGTGAGTAATTATCCTGTCTCTCCCTCCTTCCCCTCACAAATGGCAAACTCATAATGAGTGACACTTGACCAGTGAGCTCCTAATGTGCCTTCATCTGAAAATATTGTATGCTGCTTAGACCAGCAATAAGTGTATTGTGGCAAATCCCTGTACTTGGAATGTTGCTAATCTATGCATGCAATTCCATCCAATAGGAACTTCCCAAGTGGCTTCCCTGTGCCCTGCTCCATGCTGGCCAGGCCTTAAAGAACGTGACACCGTGTGACTCCCCCCACCCCTACACACCTGGAGTATTTTACAGTTTGGAAGGAGCAGTTACAGATGTTGTTTCCTTTGGGCTTATCGTGCGGGATGGGCAGGGCGAGTTAACATTATCCCTCTTTTAAGGATGCAAAAACTGAGCCTGGGAGAATAGAGTTGCTGGGAGGAAGTGGAGACCAGAGAGTCTGAGTCACTTTTCCAAGGTCACACAGTTACTAAGTGGCTGCGTCTGGACTGGAATCCAGATCAGGAGACTCCAAGCCTCAGCCCACCCAGCTGCCTCTCTGAAGGGTACTGTGTCAGATTCTACCCCCCCCACCCCAAATGTATGTGATGTTTTTCTTTCCACGAGGGCACCGTACTGTGTCTCTACAAAATATGAATGTCTTTCTGGAATTGGCCAAAATCTTCGTCATCCAGATATTGATAAACAGCACATGCAATGGCCCACTTGCTGCCCCCCCTTTTGCTTCCCCCCAAAGGAAGCTTTGTCTTGGGCCTGCTGACATCAGTACCCAGTATTCACTGATGAGATAAGGCTCTGGGCAGCTGTGTTCAATACCGTGACCACCGAGAGTCCTTGCAGCATCTCTGGGCTTGGTTGGTATTGGCCTGAAGGGCAGTGGTTAGGAGCCTTGAGCAAGAAGACCCCGACCTAAGGTGGCCCAGATATTCCTCTTGCTCTAACATTGTCCCAGAAGAGTGTCTATCTTGGTCTCGGTAAAGAGCAGCCTGAAAGAGTGGCATTGGCTAACCCAAACTGTGGTGACAGAGCATGGGGAGAGGGAGGAGGAAGGAGCCACTGGAGGCTCTGGGCAGGCTCACGACTTGGCGCCTCAGTGAGCTCACAGTCCTTCAATATGGCTCCGCATTTGGGGGAGAGATGAGGCTGGGTGCTGAGTGAGGGGGTGTGCAGAGGGTTTACCCTCTCCTCTGTTGTCCTGAGTAGCTGCACTTCAGCCCAGAACCTGTGCCTGAGACTCAGCACAAACTAAAGCCTTGTCTTTCTCAGGTTCTGCCTCCTGGGAACGGGGTTAAGGAGCAGGTGTTCTTGTTGGAGCATGACCCTTGTGGGTCTTACTTCCTACCCCCAACAGAAAGTACCAAATGCTTTTAAACTCACACAATTCCTTTGGGGCGCTTGGGTGGCTCAGTCCGTTGAGCATCTGACTCTTGATTTCAGCTCAGGTCATGATCCCAGGGTCTTGGGATCAAGCCCCACCTTGGGCTTTGGGCTGGGCATGGAGCCTACTTGAGATTTTCTCTCTCTCCCTCTGCCCCTTTCCCCTGCTCTCTCTCTCTCTCTCTCAAGTAAAAAAATAAAAACTCACACAATTCCCTCCCTAAAAGGAGTTCTGGGGAAAAACAATTTTCAATACTTTGCTGAATTTTTAGTACTGTCTTTGCTGCCCTCTGGGTTGGGACCCCTCAGCCAATCACTGGCTGGCCCCTTAATCTGACCTTGGCTGGGGATCTGAGGAGGGGAGAGGGGGGTGAGGTTGACTTGATATTGAGGGAGGAACTCCCGATCCCAGCCTCCTCTGCTCCCTTTCTGTCTTTGGAGACCGAGATTGGGAGCAGAAATTGGGAGGTGACTGAGCCTGTGGAATTAGTAAGTTTCCTTGTGACCCACCAGGGTGAGTGACAGTTAGTAGGGGGTCTGGAGCCTGACTGACCATTCCTGGAGCCTTAATATTTCCTTCTCTCCTCCAGAGTTTCTCACTGAACTTCACACTGCCGACCAACACGGTAAGTGCAGTGGGCCCCGGGCACCAGGCAAGTCAGCACATCTGACTGGGGGTGGGGAGGGGGGCAGAGCACATCACACAGAGCTCACGCCAGGGGATAAGTGGCTGGTTGTCAAAGGACTTATGAATAGTTGGGGGGGGATGCCACTGAGACAAATGTTTTCAATTATAAAAATTATAAATACTTTTTTTTTAGAGAGAGAGAGTGTGAGCAGGGGAGAGGGGCAGAGGAAGACAGAGAGAGAGGGAGAAACAGAGAGACAGAGAGAGACAGAGAATCTTAAGCAGGCTCCACACTCAGCACAGAGCCTGATGCAGGGCTCGATCCCACGACTCTGGGATCATGGCCTGAGCTCAAATCAGGAGTTGGGTGCTCAACCGACTGAGCCACCCGGGCACCCCTAAATAAACATTTTAAAAGGAAAATAGAAAAAAAATCAAAACACCTAAATTCCCATCAGCAGAAAACCTTGGTGCTTCTCCTTCTAGTCCTGTTTGACTTTACATATATTTTGACTTTTGTTGTCTCTGTACCACGCATGATTTTATACAGATTCTGTGATAAAAATTTTCCATCAGCCTTTATAACCGTAACTGAGGATAGTCACATGGTATTCCTTCAAGTGAATTATCTCTTTAATCGGTTAACCACAATTAGGAATAATTTTGTCATAAAAATCGTTATAGCTAAATCCTTGTCTGCATTTCCTTAGTGTATGTTCTAGAAGGGGCATTGTTGGGGCGACAAGAATGAACAGTTTATGGCTCTCGAGTCTGGCCTGTAGTTGCAAGTCAAATGGAGATTGTCGGTTGATGATGGCGTATAGTCTCAGCCCATAGCCGCTCTTCTGTCTTCTGTCCTCCTGTTGTGTGGAGATAACGCAGCCAGGGTTGTTTTCTGACCAGTGGTGCTGCTATGATGGAGCTAGGCACTTTCCCAGCCCAGATTTTTAGTGGGTTTAGCTGTGCCAAACTTTTCTGATAAGTTGCATGGTGACTCAAAGAGAATAAACTGCATTTACCTGATTGGAGGATGCCTAAGCCAGGGTTCATTTTTAAAAAAAAATTTTTTTTAATGTTTATTTATTTTTGAGAGAGAGAGAGAGAGAGACAGAGCACAAGCGAGGGAGGGGCAGAGAAAGGGGTAGACAGTTCATTTTTTTTTTAATGTTTATTTATTTTTGAGACAGAGAGCATGAACGGGGGAGGGTCAGAGAGAGAGAGGGAGACACAGAATCTGAAACAGGCTCCAGGCTCTGAGCTGTCAGCACAGAGCCCCACCTGGGGCTTGAACTCATGAACTGTAAGACCGTGACCTGAGCTGAAGTTGGTCGCGTAACCTACTGAGCCATCCAGGTGCCCCGGCCAGTGTTCGTTTTTACTGTAACTTGGGGTCACAGCCCGGAAAGCAGTGGAAAGGTGCCACCTTGTGACTCACGGCCTGCCTTCTGGTGCCCGCTCCCGGCCGCCCTGGATCTCTGTACCTCACCTTCCCGGGCACCCACCCTGCCCTCCTGGCAGAGGCCTGACTTGCTCTGCTCCCTGCTTCAGCCTCTGCCTGTTGTCCTCACACAAACATCCCTATTCCTTCTTCACCTGTCAAAACCTTGTAATGTGGTCACCGCTGGAACATTCCCCCAGCTGCTTTCCCCCCCAGAGAAATCAGCAGGTGTATAGAGACCCCAGGTTCTGTCTAATCCTGGCTTGGCTTAGCCTATGAAGGTAACTCAGAGAAGCAAGAAGCCATTGCTCAGGGCAGTGGTGGTGAGTGGGGGGTAGGGCGGATGCCTTTATGATGCTAGTCGTCACCTTTTGTAGTACTTTCTTTGTTAGTAGCCCATTTCTCTGAGGACTGTCCCCTCCTCCTATGTAGGGCAAACGACCATCCCGGTTAGTCTGGGGCTGTCTGGTTTCAGCACGGATGTCCTACATCCTGGGCAAGTTCTCCAGGTGGTTGGTCATCCTACCCAGCAGTTATATTCTCTTGCATGACCTCCCCTTGTGGTGTGAATGACCCGGAATGCCGGTGCCCCGGGAGGTAGGGGAGAGGTACACCTGGCTCATCAGAGCCTGTCTGCAGGGGGTTTGGAACAGGGCACACACGCAAGTCGGTCTCTGCTGAACAGCACTGGACAGTCAAGTACAAACACTGGGTTGGGGTGCTGCATTTGGTCATGGAAGGCAGTGTAGCACCACGGTTAAGGGCATGGGCCCTGGAGGCAGAGCACCTGGCACCCACCACTTAGGGCTGTGTGACCTCACACAAGTGGCTTCACTTCTCTGTGCGTCACTCCTCTCATCTGTAAACCGGGAGTCATTATTGTCCTTCTTCACGAGCTGTTGTGAAGAATAAACGAGCCAATACAGGAGAAGTACTTGAACAGGCACTTAGTAAGTTCTCCCTAATTGTGAGCGGGCACAATTAGCAGAGCAGAAAAGCCCATCTGGAGACAGAAAGAAGGAAGCAAACAGGCAGAGAGGAGTGCATGTGAAAGGTTAGGATGCCCAGGAGAGATGGAGAGATGGAGACATCCCACAAGGGATGGCTCCAGTCCCCGGAGAAGCCAGATGCCCGCTGGCCTTTGGCTCCACGCGGCATCCCGGCATCTTTAGAGGTAACTCTTTTTTTTTTTCTTTTTGCCAAAGCCAGCCCAAGTGAATTTCTAAAATCTAAAGACAGAACATCTTACCTGAAACAATATTGGACTCTTCCACCACTCTGAGAAACAGAACACTTTTGGCAGATAGCAGCATTAAAGTGGTACTGAGGGCGGGGGGCGGGGGGGGGGGGGGAGTCTGTGTTTAGGTAAAAGTGTAACCATTTAAGTATAAATCCCCCCTCTGATGGGAGCTCTTTGAGAAAGAGACCTGGGCTTGGAATTCAAACACCCAAGTGAGATTCGATTTACGGTTACCCCTGGAACCTGGGGAAAGACCCATCACTTCTCTAAGATCTATTTCATTTTCTGCAAGATGGAGACAGTAAGTAAAAGCCCAGGCCCCAGGGACTCCAGCGTGCTCACTGAGGTTGATGATGAAGTAAATGACAGGTCTGACCAGAACTTTGCCAAGTTCAAGGGAAAGACAAAAGCATACACTTCTGGTGCTCACTGGACCCTCATAATAGCCCTAGAGGTAGGTACTAACATCCTTATTTTGTAGATGAAGAAATGAGGCCCCTTCGCCTGAGTTGAGAAATCACCATTTAACTCTGGACACGTGTGAGCCAGGGACGTATGCTTTTAACCTCACAGGGCACAACTTAGTGTAGTTTACGCCGGTTAGTGGCTAACGTGGAACTCTGTCCCTTGAGATTTATTGATCTGGGCAAGACTCTCACCTGGAATATCTCATAAATGGATGAAATCTGGTTCCCCCACTTGAGTGGAGCTATGAACTGGTCACATGTATTCACAGAGATTCACAACTTCAGCTATCCCCCAAAGCTATTTGCGTTGTTGCATATTTGAAAACAGGTAAGGCTTCCTTAAAGAAACTTGCGTCCACCAGTATTAATATTTGTTTCCTTTCTAGCAATGGGCACAAGTGGTCCAAAGCCTGATGGAAAGGCTGTGGGAGCTAGGGACAGAAGAAAGCTTTTTTGAGTTGTAAAATGCTTTATTGCACATCCACAGGGTGAATAAGAAAGACACCACCAGAATTTCTGAATTCTCTCTCCTTATAGCCAAATTTCATTCCTTCTTACCTAGAAAGCAACCAAGAAAGGTTCTATTTGGCAGTTATTGCCATATGTTATTTTCAATAGAAAGTTTAGCAAAGGGGTAAACTTTAGGCATGATCGCTTAACCTTTGATGGACTGTCTTGTATGATGTGCAGATTTTGTTTCTTTAAGATGTGTGTTCTTTTTTCACACAGACTTCCTCCCCAGTTGTAACAGGTGGGAAAGAAGCAGTAAGTATATCCCTAAATTATGGAGCCTTGGTTTGGTCACTTACAAGAAGGAAATAATAACATTCCAGCCATTTCCTACCTTTGTTTTAAAGATTAAAGCTCGATACGTCACCAAGCACAGAAGGCGGCTCAACAATTATCCCTATGACCAACTCAGCTTAAAAATGAAGGAGAGCATGCAAAAGTCACAGACTTTGTTAAGCGGGAAAAAGCTGGACACGAAAGAGTAGATACGTTTCATGTGCATCTAGATGATGCGGGCAAACAGAAGCAAAACTAACGTATGGTGATGGATTTCAGGATAGTGGTTACACATGCTGGGAGTATGGGGCGGCTTCAGGGCTTCCGGCAATGTTTTGTGTTTTCATCTGGGTGCCGGTTACCTGTGTGAGATCATCATGCGAAAAGTCATCCAGCTATATATTTATGATTTACATAGTTTCCTATATGTACGTTATATATGAGAGCTGAGCGTTTACAGGGATTCTGCAGATCACCTTTGATATTTCCAGATAATCTATAAATCTGAAAACTTATGCGGATACAAGGATGGCTGTTTCCACTCAGACTGAAGCAAAATGGACATTGGAAAATTAATTGCTTAATGCATATACTGTAAATGAATCTAAAGCTTCACGTCCGAATGATGTGGAATATAACTTTTCACTTTTTGCCACATTGATAGGTTAAGCTAGTATCTAATAGCTGTTTTGAATTGTTTCTCAGCTTTTGCTGATGTTGATGAGACAGAATGGCCTGTTCATACCCTTTGCCCATTTTCCTACCTGATTTTCACCCCTTTTCCATTGGTTTAAACCGTGTAAATTAAGTCCACGAGTCATTTGCCATGGATGTTGCAAACCTTTTTTCACAGTATTTTATTACCCGTTGATTTCATACATGACACTGAGAGGCCATGTGGGGGGTTGCTTTGTTTTATTTTTAATCAATGGAACTTTCCCTTTATTCTTGGAGGAACTGACTCTGCCCTTCTCTCTTTTGCCAGGACTGTGGGCCTTCTCTTGGGTTAGCAGCCGGCATCCCGTCCCTGGTGGCCGCAGCCCTGCTGGTGGCTTTACTGTTTATACTGATTCGCCGAAGAAGCAGCAGCAAGGAGTCCGCCGAGGTGATCAGCAGCTTCTTTGGTTCTAGATGTTGTAGCAGGAATCAGTATTTCAGTGAACTGGCTTCGGGCTGAGGGTGTCAGAATCCAAATCTGTGTTCTGGGGACACGATGGTGAATGTTCCTGTCCCTCCATTTCTATCGCAGACTGAAGATAGTACGCTCCAGGCAGAGCTGATGTGTCACACAACCTTCGCTTCAGGAAATCTGTGGCAACAAGCATGGTGTCTGGGGTGGCAAAAAGTGGCAGTGGAGGGGGACGTGTGTTGCCATGGCAAACGCACGTCTGTACCGTGGGTGTGTTCTCTAAAGTCGAGAACCAAAAGGGCGCGGGCTTCATAAAGAGAGTGGAAATAATCTCAGGAAAGATAGGGGGTGAACAGGTGCCGACATGTCTATGGTGAGGACACGTCCACAGGCATGCGGCTCTGTTGCCCTTTGCCCTTTCTCTACATCTGAGCACACATCAGTCACAAGGGAATCTACCAACTCCACCCCTCCAAATGCCGGATTGCTCTGGAGACCGTGCTCAGAAGTCAAAGGCCCCCCCAGACCACTATCCGAGAAGCTTCCGTGGTTATAATACAACGGTGTCGTGTGGACTCTGGGTTCTAATTCCGTCCTCTATTTATGAACAGTCCTGGTTGTTCTCATATTAATAAACGTTAACGTGAGATAGACAATCGAGGCTCTACCCCGGGCTCTGCCACTTTATGAGTTATATGATCCTGAACAAGAGCCTCCACATTTTCTGTGCCTTGGTTCACTCTATTCCAAAATAGGGGTCAGAAAAACTGCCCTCCCTATTTTAAGAGGTAGGCAAAGTTGTCAAGATGCACTAGGATTATGGTTGTAAAGATGTGTTGACAAGCTGTAAACTTTAAACATATTAAGACATATTATGGTTGTTGGTGGTGTTGTTAATATTTAAATCATAGCTTCTTCAATGCACTTTAAAATCATCTAGGAGGCTACAAAAATACCAATCACCAAAACCGATTAAATTAGCACCTCTGGACAATAGAGCTACGGCATGGAGAATTTTAAATATATACTAAGGTAAAGAAAATGGTATAATGAACTCAATTATCAAAACGTGGCCAATCTTGTTTGACCTCTGCTCCCACCCACTTCTCCCCACTGTCAACCTGGGATTCTTTTCGAAGTAACTTACAATGATATTTCTCATTTATGGAATTTTTGAGGGGATGGTTATTATCTGTTTGCTTACTTTGTTTTGTTTTTAAAGCTTTCTGATGATTCTTATGTGCATGCAGGTTTAAGAACCATTGGTTTTAATCATGGTCAGGGGCGAATGCTGGGATCCTTCATTTATTCTTTCCTTTTAAATGTATTTTTACCAACTTAGGAAAGTGAGAGGCCATGTGAAATTTCAGAAATCTATGACAATCCCAAGATTGCTGAGGTAAGAACTCTTGTTTAAAATCACTGTAGATCATTGATACAGTAAGCAAGCTAAGGGTTTTTAAGCCGTCCACCTACAGGAGAAGTACCGTGTGAGCACGTGTGGAAAAGAGGTGGCCCAGGGAAGCTCAGGCACAAAGGAGGTTCTCACTGTGTGTTTATTGGCTGGACAGGAATTCAGGGTTGATTGAATATTAGAAAGCCAATTTAGGGACACCTGGGTGGCTCAGTTAGGTGTCTGACTCTTGATCTCAGCTCAGGTCATGATCTCACAGTTTGTGACATCGAGCTCTGCGTCGGGCACTGCGCTGACAGCAAGGAGCCTGCGCGGGATTCTCTCTCTCTCTCTCTCTCTCTCTCTCTCTCTCTCTTTCTTGTTCTCTTAGCCCCTCCCCCACTCATGCTCACACACTCTCTCAAAACAAACTTTAAAACAAGAAAATGAGTATTATTTATTTCACTGACAAATTGAAAGAGAAAAGTTGTGTGACCATCTCAACAGAAGACAGTCCAAATAAATTAAACAGCCATTTGTGATGTGAACTCTTAGCCAACTGAAACTAGAATAGGAACTTCCTTAACCTGAAAGAAGACATCTTTTTACAAATTTACAGCAAACATCATATCTAAAGGTAAAATATTAATGAATTCTCTTTAAGATTGGAAACAAAACAAGGATGATCTATTCAATACTGAATTCTATTCAGTACTGTACTTTAGGTCCTAGTCAATGCAGTAGGATAAGAAAAAGAAGTAGAGAGGCGCCTGAGTGGCTCAGTCGGTTGAGCGTCCGACTTCGGCTCAGGTCGTGATCTCGTGGTTCATGAGTTCGAGCCCACGTCGGGCTCTGGTGCTGACAGCTTGGAGCCTGGAGCCTGCTTCAGATTCTGTGTCCCCCTTTCTCTTGTTCCACCCCGGCTTGTGCTCTCTCTCTTTCAAAAATGAATAAACATTAAAAAAAAAAAGAAGTAGAAATTAACTTGAGGGGGGAGATTCTTTCACAATGTGTACATATATCGAATAATTACATCATACTCCTTAAACATCTTACAATTTTGTTTGTCAATTATATCTCAATAAATACTAAAAAAGAAATAGAATAAGGAAGAAAAAGAAGTAGAAATTGTAAGACTGGAAAAGAAGAAACAGAATGTCATTATTTCCAGATGATATGATTATCTACATAGAAAAGCCAAAGTATCTACAGATAAATTATTAGAATTAAGGAAAGACTTTAACAAGTTGCCTGGATATGAGATCAATATACAAAAGCAATTTGCATTTCTAAAAATCATTAACAACCAATGGAAAAAGTAATTTTTAAAAATGCCATTTTGTAGAGGTATTAAAAATATGTAGACTGCTAAGGAATAAATCTAACAAAAACTGGAACCCCTTTATGGGGAATAATAAAACTTCAGTAAAAGGTATTAAATAGGACCTAAATAATGGGAGTTACATACCATGCTTCTGGATAGAAAGACTCAAGAGGTAAAGATGTCAAACAACCTCAAATCAATCTATACGATAAATATGGATTCCAATATAAATCCCAACAGATTTTTTTTTACAGGGAACTCAATAAAAGCCTACTAAAATCTGTATGGAAGAAGGCAGGGGAAAATTTTTAAATAGCAATGAATGGACAGAATGAAGAGAAAACAAATAGGAAGATGGTACATTTAAACTCAACCACATCAGTGAGTTCACTAAATGTAAATGGTATAGGGACACCTGGGTGGCTCAGTTGGTTGACTCTTGATTTTGTCCCGGGTCATGATCCCAGGGTCTTGAGATCAAGCCCTTCATTGGGCTCTACACTGAGCATGGAGCCTGCTTGAGATTCTCTGCCGCCCCCCTCTCTCCCTCCCTCCCTCTACCCCTCTCCCCTGCTTACACTCTCTTCCTCTCTCTCTCTCTCTAAAAAAAAAAGATCTGCAAAATATTTTTAAAAATGTAAATAGTCTAAATATCCCAATTAAAAGGCAGAGATATAAAAATCAAAATTTACATCAGATTGAATATAAAAACAAGATCCAACCAAATACTGCCTGGCAAAAACTCAATTTAAATATAAAGACACTAATAAATTAAAGGTGAAAGGAATGAAAAAGAAATACCATGCTAACATGAAACAAAAGAGAGTGGAATGGCCAGAAAAAAACCTGCCAAGGCACTAAACTTGGCAATTATAGGCCTCTCCTCATTTGTTTTCTGTCTCTCAAGGATCACATCCTTTCTTGCCTGATGTCCAGCGTCTTGAAAACTTGTTTTAAATGTTTTTTCAGACTTCTGGTTGTTCAGGTGGGAGGGTAAATCTGGTTGCTGTTTGGCCAGAAGCAGAGGTCTTTCTTTGCTCTATTTTTGAAAACCCTGTTTGTTTTCTCAAGAATCCTAGGAGGTCACCCACACATGAGAAGAATATTACGGGAGCAGAAGAAGCCCACATATATGTGAGGACTGTAGCAGGAAGTGAGGAACCCATGCATGACACTTACCGTCCTACTGTTGAAACGGAGAGAAGACGGGGATTGTGGTGGCTTATGCCCAGACTGAGTCTGGAATGACGCATTTCAGTCAAGGAGAAGATATGGAGCTGGAACAGAGCTGAAAACCCATGGATTTTTGCTCGGAATGAGGAGAGATGCCAAGCTGCTTCTTAACCTATCTAAATTTCATGTGTAGATCTGGAAAACTTTCAGGTTGGTTTGTCTCTGTAGGTGACAGAGCTAAAGGTTCATTCCAACACTCGGATCTTGTTGTTTAATAAGCAGTGAAGCACCAAGTGAGGTCCAGAAGGAGCCCTTTGATCCTATTCCTGACCTATGCTTTTCTTTTCTTTATGATTTTGGGGAAGGGACTTGATTTCTGTGTGTTTTGCCTTATGTTTTTTCACATCTCTTTTCTCAAAAAAAAAAAAAAAAATCATCAGACCTGGCTTCTGTGGGAAGGTTGGCCAAGGTCAGCATGGTGCAAGCTGGGATATAAATAAAACTTAAATTGGATTATGAGGGGAAGCAGTTTCTTATTTCTGAACATCTCAAGGTAGAAATCCTGTGGAGCCATATGTTCCCTGACTACAGGGGTAGCACATGCTCCCATTTGTGTCTGTGCTCAAAGAGTATTTAAGGAAGGCAATTCTGCAGTAGACTCTCTCTCCCTCTGTGTGTGTGTGTGTGTGTGTGTGTGTGTGTGTGTGTGTTGAGGGCAAATAGGGTGGAGTGAAGGCAAAGGTCCTTCCAGGAGATTAGAAATGAGGGCCATATCCATTTTGTGAGAATGGAGGGAAAGGCTCACGTCCTTGGACTTGTGTGGGGAAAAACTCACTGGCAGGAAGAGAGGGCAAGAGGACTCTGGATGAACACAGGACCAAAGGGATGGGCTAAGCAGCAATTTTTTTGCCATCTGAGGAAAGCCTGAAGACACACCAGCTGGCTCAGGCCAGGACTTCAACATTGCTTCTGTGATGGAGCTTCCGGGAGTCCTGGTTCTGCCATGCGGGGCCATTGCTGGTGAACAGGCAGGGTCTCCTAATGGGAGAGCCTGAGTCCACGGCATCTCAGGATCCATCCACCAATTCCACTCTGATATGTTGTGGAGACATTTCTTTCTCACCCTAGGGCCTCTGCTTGCTCAGAAACATGACCCTCTTCTTCAAATAACTAAGAACAGGTTCTACAAACCCAGTTACTGCCAATGCCAACACGTGCTTTCGAAGCTGCCTCCCTTACCTGGGGAGTGTCCCAAGATGAAAAGACCAACAAAAAGTATCTCCCTGAGAGGAAAAGGGCCACTAAGATCCAGAGAGAGACTCAGAGATAGAAAATAGGGGATATATTCCTTTGACGTTTAAGAAGTTGTACTTCTGAATGAAAGCAGTGGGAATACATCTCGTGTGTGGCCTTGTGCTGGGTGCCCAGGGAAGCAGCTCCATGGCTGAGAGAAGGAGCAGACAATGGCTTGAGCAAAGTGAGTTAGTACCCCCTCCTCCAGAAGGGACCCAGAACCCCCTCCAGAATCTTCTCTCCTCAAGATAAATCTTAAACTCTTCACTCTTTCATTTTGTCACATTTTTGTTTAGAATATTTTATAGTGTTTGAGTGAAAAAGAAGACTCCACCGTCTTGATTCCTCCTATTTTTATTGCAAATATATAGTATTTCAGCTACACTATGGGCTTTGATGAGCTATGCTGGAAATGAGCCACCAATTACAACAACATTTCAATGGAAAAATGCATTGTGAAATCTAAGCAACAGTCATACAAACGGCCTATTAGACCCTAACCCATTACCAAGTGGCGGTGCCTTATCATGTTTCCAAAACTATTTCTAAAAGCAATCTGCATTTCAATAAGGCTTAAAGAATCTCATATTTTCTTAAGGCATCTTTACTATAATATGAAGCAGAATTTATTTAACCCGAAAAAAAAAACTGAAAAAAAGTTGACAACTTTTTTTAGGCATTTCTTTCCCATGGTTCAATGTAATCCAATCCCAGATGTGCAAAAATTTCTTCTTCACTTTCTGCTTTGAGAAATATTTTCTGAAAGCATAAAAAGAAATATGTGCATTCAGATATTTTTAAACATCTCAATCCTGACATAGTGAAAGTTTTACTTTGTAAATTGTCTTGGCAGAGTGGGTTATTACCAAAACATAATTCCCTGCTTCTGAGTATAAAAAATCATCTGAACTGACTTCTTTTTTTTTTTAAATATTGACTGGCTTCTGTAATTTTATTATTTTCCTGCCCCCAAAACATGGTATCTGATAAATTAACAAAATTACAACGGCCTTACATATTTAGCTAAAAGCATTTGGTATTTTTCCAATGGGTCTGTAGTTCTTAACCACAGTTCTTCATTAGAACCACCTAAAGGAACTTAACAACAACAACAAAAAAACCCAAAAAACTTTGAAGCCTGAATGACACCCCAGTTCAATGAAATCAGAATCTCAGGAGAGGTCCTGTCACCAGTCTTTGTAAAGGCTCTGGGTAAGTCTCATGGGCAGCCAGAATTATGTACTCCTGCTCCAAGTAACGAGAGGCAATTATAGGATACTTGTATATGTTGGGTTCTCCTTCTGACCTTCCTCACCTGCCCGCCTCCACCCCCACCCCAGGCTCCCACTCCATGATCTCTTTTAGACCAAGCGCCACTTCTCCCTCATCCCCTTCTTGCCTATAGCACAGTGTTGGACCCTCAAGACGCACTCAGTTATGTTAAACTATTTAGTATGTGTTAATTTGTAAGCATTCCTATGCTGTGTTATGTGACTCTGCCTCCACTCACATGCTTGACATCTATGGCCCTTTCCTCTGACAGCAGTACCTTGATTTTCCTTTGAGAAACCACCCTTCCCTACTCTCAGTCTGTGAGGATCAGGTGGGGCTAATTCCATCTCCAAGGAGGGCCACACGATCAAAGCCTGGCCAATCAGAGCCATAAGGGATGGGCACATGACCCAGGCCTGGCCAATGAACATCAACTAGGACTCTTGCTGGAACTATCAGGAAAGAGGCTCTTCTCTGTTAAGTTGGACGGATGGGAATCATGGGAAAACCATGCCTGAGGTTGAAACCAACACTGAGGAAAACCTGCAATCAGCACCTGGATACAGACATACCTGAAATCAGTATTACCCCCAGATGCTTCAATATATAAGCCAAGTATACTTTTTTTGCTATGCCACCTTGGACTGGGTTTCTGACACCTGTAACTGAGACAGCTCTAATCAAATACAGCGCATTTAGGCTGTGAGCTCTTAGAGGGTAAAGATAACTTCTGGTTATTTTATGTCTTATTCCCCTCAGAGCTTAGTTTAATGTCCTTGACCCCTGGGAGAACAGCAGACCTTGGCGTGTAGATTTAACAGATGAATATTTAACTCTTCATAATTTATGCAGTAATTTATCCTTTTGCCGAGGCATGAATTTGGATCCTGATCAGTGCCAAGTGCAGCACACCAAGTGAGTTACACAGCTGGTGAGGGAGCCTCACTGATTGCTCATCTACATCTCAGGGAAGTTCTGTGGCTCTTCCTCTTGCAGTATGCTCTCATTAATGACCCAAGTGGTCACTCAAAATGCAGCTGCCCACGCATTTAAGGGGTACTTGAGTGGTATTTGTGATTTGGGGAATCCTTGGTTTTCTTTGGACTTATTCACTCCAAATACCAAAGATATATCAAACACAATTAATGTTCACGCTGGACTGGTTCTAAAGACCCAACAAGCTCATCATCTTTGAGCCCAAAGCCCTTGAGGTATATTCTGGGCCAGGTGGGGACCGTGCTCCCATCAGGGTCTTTCCAGCTGCCCTCAACTGTGATCTGTGGGAACAGGACACTCAGGGCAAACATCAGTTCAGGAAAAGTGCTCAGGGAGCCAGCCATAGGGATGAGGATCAGAGCAGCCCACCTTGGGGAGACAACTCTACCTTGGTCTTGTCGTATAAAGCATGGTTATCCAGGATCATCTTCCGCTCATGCGTGGCATACCGCCGGAGGTCTCTCTCAAACTGCTGGACGAGATATAATTAAAATAAATTACTATTAAGTTTAGAATGTCTTCAGTATTACGCGTTTAGAGATATCTAAGTCCCTATAACGAAACACCTATTTACCTCCAGTGAACGTTCTGAAAGCAATTTTCTCTCCGAGGGCAAAGCTCTGTGATGGCACATTAGAATGTAAGCTCCTTGAAAACAGGAGCCTGGCTGGCTTGGTTCATAACCATATTCCCTTCTCTAATAGTGCCTGGCACACAGAAGATGGACAGAAAGTGTTTGTTGAGTGAATAAATAAATGCTGTGAGGATTGTGTCCAGGATAATACCTGGTCCCAAAGCAAATGCTGGATAAATAATAGTTTTTTTTTTTTTATTTTTAATTTTTTTTAATTTTTTTTTTCAACGTTTATTTATTTTTGGGACAGAGAGAGACAGAGCATAAACGGGGGAGGGGCAGAGAGAGAGGGAGACACAGAATCGGAAACAGTCTCCAGGCTCTGAGCCATCAGCCCAGAGCCTGACGCGGGGCTCGAACTCACGGACCGCGAGATCGTGACCTGGCTGAAGTCGGACACTTAACCGACTGCGCCACCCAGGCGCCCCTAAATAATAGTTTTTTTATTTGGAATATCATTATGCCAAGAGAAGCTGAGGAGTCAAGAGACCCAAACTCCAGCCTGGATTTTGTCCCTATTTGTGCCTCTTTTGGCAAGCCACCCCGTTTCTCTGAATCTTGACTGGTCAGACAGGAGGATGAAGAAAGTCCGTACATAGGAAGTAGGGTCCCTTCTGGCTCTAACAGCCTCTTGGATGAGAGTCTGTAAAACTCACGGTTTGAGCCACCTGTCCCAGAATAGCATGTCCTATGATCGAGGGTGGGCTCTGAGTTTGCAGGGGGTGAAAACTGAAGGCTAAGATAGAGGACAGTGAATAAAGCTGCTGTTGAGTTTAAGCACAGATCTAGAAACGTTGATCTTTCCTTGTGAGATGCGGAGGAAAGTATGGGATAATCGCGCCCTCTAGCGGCGAGGAGCCGTTTCCTAGTTTCGGAAAGCCGGCTGAGGCTGGGACCCCTCCCACCACGGCCCGCTGTGTAAGAAAACAGGCTCTCCAAACAGAAGTTTTATTAATGTGGCAGAGGGGGAGCCAGGGTTGTGGACAAATCGGGGTGTAGCAGGTTCTGGGTGCAGTAGCTGCTGGACTGAAAATATGGGAGCGTCACTTGGCACTATGCCTCCTGCCAGCCCTGGGACATTCTCTTCCCACCCCACTCCCCAGCACTTAGAGCGATGGCTGCTCCCAGGGTGTTGGGAAAGGCTGGAGAGGATGGGGATGAGGGGGGCAGTGAGAGGCTGCCCTTGGCTCCCCAACTCTACGTGGTGAAAGATATATTCCTGGACTCCTCTGCTGAAACCTGAGAACGTTTCCCCATAGACTGCAAGAAATGATAATGATGTCTTTTATTTGGAGAATAACAATATTTACTCAAGTATTTATTGAGCACCTACTGTGTGCCATGTGTGTCCTGTGTGCTTGGGATACAACAGTGAACATGTCTGCCCTGGTGGGGCTTGCCTTCGAGCAGGGGACACAGACAAGGCACAATAATGGAATAAATAAACCGGACGGTATGAGGAAAGGTAACTGTTGTGTACAGAGCAGGCCTCATTGAGAAGGTAGGGGTTTGAGCAAGGAATTGGACCGGGTGTCAGCCAAGTGGACTCTGGGGGGAGAGCCGTCCAGGCAGACGAACAGCCAGCACACAGCCTTAGCATGGAGCGAGCCTGGCCTGTTTAGGGAGAGAGCCGTAGGAGAGGAGTTCAGAGGGATAAGGGGGTGGGAAGATCGAGCAGGGTCTCATGAGCCACGGCAGGACCCCACGTTTACTCTGAGCTCAATGGGGGAGTCTCTGCAAGGTTTTGAGCTGCGGAGGGACCTGATCTGACTTATGTTCTAGGGGGATCGCTCAGCTGTACCAGGCGAGGCCAGAAACAGGCAACGACATCCTTCTTAATATTTACGTAGAGCTCACCTTGTGCCAGGCACTGGGCTCACTTCTTGCTTTATATTAATTTTTTGATCTGCTCTCTTACCGCTGACATTTAACAGCTTCTGGAAGACTCTAAAAGACTCTTTAATTACCTCAAAGAAAACAGTTTTTTTTTAATTAGACTTTTAAAAATGTTTATATTTTTTTAATTTTTAAATTTTTTTGATGTTTATTTTTTTTTGGGGGGGGGAAGCACGACTGGGGGAGGAGCAGAGAGAGAGAGACAGACAGAATCCAAAGCAGGCTCCAGGCTCTGAGCTGTCAGCACAGAGCCCGATGCGGGCCTTGAACCCACGAACTGTGAGATCATGACCTGAGCCAAAGCCAAATGCTTAACTGAGCCACCTTGGCACCCCTCAAGGAGAACAGTTTTATGTACATAGTTGGACTCGAAGTTGTGCTGAGATGAGGGCATTGTCTCATTTAATGCTCATTACAATCCTGTGAGGCGGGGCTTTTGTTAGTCCATTTTTCAGATGAAGAAAGGATGCCCAGAGAGCCTAAGTCATTCACCCGAGGCCACACAACCTATGATAGAGCTGGGACCCAGACTCAGGCACTTTACCCAAGACAGTTTAAAAGCCTTCTGCTTTAAACCCTCTTTAGTTTCTCACAATGACCCTGTGAAATAGGCATGGCAAGGATGATGTCTTATGTTTCAAATGAAGGAAGCCGAACACTGGGCAGGGGCATTGGTACTACAGTCTGACTGTATCATCGGTCACAATCGACCTCAGAAGTTGGCCAACGGCTGCTGCATACAGTTGTGCAAGTTGTGCACTGCGGAACTCTAGAGGGCACCATTCCCTATAGGGGAATGTAGGCCCCAAATTGAGGTGAGATTAAGAGATGACTTGAATTGTCTTGAGAACACTTCCCAGGCCCTGAAATATTTGGGTAAAAAGGTGAAGTCGAATTTTTCACCTACAAAACTTTAGACTAAATCTAATCCTGGTCACCCACCAACAGGTATCCCCCTGGAGACAAAACACACCATATTCAGTGGTTGCATAAGTAGGGCGTAAAGATAGTCACACAAGTAGCTACCACATGCTGAGCACGCAGCCTCTCCTTTAACCCAAATGGCAACAATAAGAGGTGGGCACCACTATTATCCACAATAGAGATGGGGCGGTGGGGGCTCAAAGAGGTGAACTAGTTTAAAGTCAGTCAGCAAAACGCTGAGTGTTCTATCAGCGCCTGCAGAACCCATAGAAGCAATTTCCAAGAACTCCGAGAGAAGAGACCAAAATGTGCTGAAAACAGGGGCGCCTGGGTGGCTCAGTCGGTGAAGCGTCCGACTTCAGCTCAGGTCACGATCTCGCGGTCTGTGAGTTCGAGCCCCGCGTCGGGCTCTGGGCTGATGGCTCGGAGCCTGGAGCCTGCTTCCGATTCTGTGTCTCCCTCTCTCTCTGCCCCTCCCCCATTCATGCTCTGTCTCTCTCTGTCTCAAAAATAAATTAACGTTAAAAAAAAAATTTAAAAAAAATAAATAAAATGTGCTGAAAACATGCCTGTCTTCAAACAAAATGGGTAAAAGGCCACCGTTTCTGCCAGTGATGCCTAACTAGCCTGATCTTATATAACTTCGGACTTGTTTTTGGAACTCTCCCCTGTCTCATCAGGCTCTGTGCTCCCAAAGATTCTCGTCTGTCAAACAAGCTGCATTTATGATAGATTGCTTCATCAGGTTTTCCAACTTTTATGAATGAAAAATGTCAGCCAACATTTTTTGATGAGGGTGAGGAATTCTAGGGCCGAGACCCTCTGCTGAAATAGTTGCAGCCTCAAGCAAAGACACCAGACATTTAACTCGAGGTTGAGGACAACTAATTCGTGTCCTGTCGTTCATCCATATAAAACCCTCTAAAGAGTCAAGTAACAGCTAAAGGCTCAAGCAACAGCTAGCTGCCTGGGGACGCTGATGAAAGCGGGCAGCGCATACTACACCGGGGGTGGTGGGGGGAAGCTCCTGCTAATGAGATTCGAATCCTGGGCACCCTCGCTGTGAATGTAACTGGAGGGGAGGGAGAACCGCCTCTTGGCCAGCACCCATCACATGCCGGCATGGCACTGGGGACTTTGCCGGCTTCATCTCACCCACCCCTGCAGCCCAGGGAGGTGACAGAGTCCTTGCCCTCACTTCCTTGGTGGGAAAGCTAAGTCTTCAAGGGCATAGGGAGCTCTGAGACCCCCAGCCAATGAGATGCAGAGCAGAGGCCCATGACAGGTCCCGGAAAAGCCAAACCTGTGTCCTCAGCCACCTTGCTGCTTTCTCTGCTTCAGTGGTCCTCCCTCTCCAGCTACATCCGAAATGCCAGCCTGAAATACCTGCCGGGCTTTTTTCGAAAGCAGATTGCTGGGCTCCACCCCCGGAGTTTCTGATTCAGGAGGTCCTGGGGGGGTGGGTGGAGAGTTTGCGTGTCTAACCTGCCCCCAGGTGATCTGATGCTGCCAGCCTGGGACCAACACTGAGAATAACAACTGCTCTAAATTAATCTGTGTCACTGACCTCGTGCAGGTAGAATGCCCAGATTTGGAGGTTTCTGGGCACTCCTCCCTGTCTCCCTGGTCCCACTGCCATTGTCTCTCTCCTGGGCCCCGGTGGACCCAGCCTACTTCTTTTGGATCTGTGTAGCACTTACCCGCGAGCCAGTCCAGCCCAGCAGGGCAAAGGCACGGCGCTCGTAGGGGCACATGACCAGGTCCACACGGATGGCCTTCCAGGTCTTCCCTTCCTGCTGGCTACACTTGCCACTGTCCACTCTCTGATGGTGCAATTTTAAAATCAGAAAGCATTTTTGAAAATGATCTAAAGCATCCACCTTCCTGCTAGGCAACTTTAGCTTTTCAAATGTCGACTCCACAAGGTCGTAGTATAAAAGTAATTCCTGAAAGCAAACAGAAAGACATCAGGAAGAGTCCCCAGTGGACAGGGTCTGCAATTTGATACTGGGCTGTTAATGACTGCTCTTAGCAGAAGCTTTACAGATTTGAGCAGAAGGTGGGCATGTTGTGCCCTTGCCATGCAAGCCCACCTGGTAACCCTGGGAAAGGAAGCCAGGAAGTGGGTGTATTAGCCTATGTAGCAGAGGAACTTAGCAGTTAGAGAGGCCAAGGCCACTTCATGGCAAAGCTGCCCGAGAATCCCGCTCCTTACTTCCGAATCACAAGTCAGGGCTCAGAAACTTGCCTCACCGCTTTGAGAACAAACCAATCATGAACAAAAGCCCTGCTGTTTTTATGCAGTTGCTCTGAGTCAGTGTCCCTCTATATTATATAGATGACCTGGTTTATTTGTCCCGAAGGGTTGTGGCCGGAGGCTCAGCCCTGCTTTTGGGCAGGACGAGTCACTACCTCTAGGTTGCATTTTAAGATTGTCACTGGGTCCGCCTTGGGGACTGGGATACAGTTAATGACACATATCTCCCCCAGTGATGCTGAGTCAGAACGAGAAGAAGAGATTCGAAGATGTGCTCAGCGACCCTCCAATTTGTCTGCTCCGTGGGAACTCCTCACAGCACAGGGCAGATGTGGGACAGGGAGAGAAAGAAACGTGTAATCAACTGATAAATCTTGAGTGACAACTAACAAAGCAAAAAACCTCACAATAATTCAGTCATAGCTCTGCGGGTAGGTGATCTGTTATCAGACATTCCTCAGGTCAGCCGGTCTCCAACTTTATCATCAGAAGCATTTGGAAAGTTTGTCACAGCAGTTTGTGGGGGCCTCTCCCCAGAGTGATTCAGTGGAAGGAGAAAGGGTGAGGATTTGCATTTCTAGCAAGTTCCCGGGAGATGCTGATGCTGCTGGTCCAGGGACCACACTTTGAGCACTTTGGTTCAGTTAATTTTGTTATTAGGAATGCTCTGCATTCCCTCTGTAGCCCTCCGGGAGATATTGTTCAATTCAACCGGACTTTGATAACTTTTCCTTTTGCTGATCTCAAAAGAGGGAACTCTTGCCCTTTAGCG